GATAATCGCATGAGCATCACTCACTATTAATCATCTTGTAAAAACTTAGCCGAATACATCTTGCAGCACCACATCACTTCGTAATATGACCCATAGGCTTAACTGATTTTAATAACTTATAACCACTATATCTCAATTAAATCGTATTCCGCCTTATGATAAACTGCATACTTGCAACTAACTTGTATGCCCAATCAGCCAGCAAGTATAAATATAAATAAATAGTCTATTGCAGATCAGAACATTGAGTCCAGAGCATGTCTCTTACGAATACACTCATGTTTAACGATTTGTCCCTAGCTATCTGTCCAAAATTCATATAATTATCACTCATGTATTTAAATTTTATTTTGATAACCATTCATGTGTATTAGTAGTATTACTAAATTCTATCACGGTCAAGTAAAAATGAGGTTGAGAAAATCTCCCCGTAACTAAATAAACCGTATCAAACTAACTGGAACACTAGTTGGAATTCTTTTCCATGGTAATACTTTTGTTCTCCCAGTTAGCCTACTGATACAGATGCAATTGGAAATCACATATGGACGGGTTACCGGCATAATTGTTAATTGGTTTCATAATTTAAACCAAAACTAATACCAATATTAACATTTCTACAATTCATTACTTTAATATTTCTAAACACAAAATAATTACTACCTATAAGTTAAGTTATTAACACGCATCGTTTTATTATTATTATTGTAACCCCATTTTTTATAGCTCAAATAATCTTCACCCAAATTTTCATTTCAAGCGTTTTAAGCATGAAGGCAGATATTTCAAAATTATTACATGTATTTCCCGACCAGATGCTGCCGCTTTCTTTTTGATTTATCTTTCAGCTTACCAATACCCGGAGGATTCTTATTATCCTTGGTAACCTCCGGTGCGCGACGATCCCATCCAATTTGGTATCGAACCAACATCACGTTGATTCTGATGGGAGAGTAGTGTAGTGGTATTGGACCATAACCACACAATCTTCAAAGCTGAACACAACACTACTCAGAAAATAGATATTCAATATTTAACACGGAGAAATACCTAACAATGGAGAAGGCGCGAACAATGAATTGAATGTACTGGAGTTGATCGAGTGGCATGGCTCGACCATGCAGGCGTGGTCCATCTCAATGTTACTTTATATCTTCTATTCATATTAAATATATTGTTCTTTCTCTAGCCTAACCTTGTTCTACATCATGTATTGGTAATTGATACGATACAGTGAGTTGGTGTAGTCGATGGTGTGACTTCCACGTAAGATCTTATAGATTAGGCAGTTATATCATGACGAATCTACAAATTTAGGATTAGGTCTATTATTAGAGCAGTACTAATATCATAGTAGACCATAGTTCTACAAGATCACGGGATAGACAGACATCATCCTCCATTGCGAAACATTTGATTGAGATGGGTCATTTGGTTGACATCAAGTCAGCGTCTGTAGTGTTATACAAAAGCTTTCAAGGACGTATACTAAGGTTTATTGAAGCCTTGGCTATACGGAAATTGAAACCCACTGCATGTATTCAAAAACAATTCGTTCATACCCTTAACCTACCCTGGTAGTACTAATTTATAAACCAGAGTGGCCATTACATTGTTCTTGTGTACTTTATTATTATTAATAACTTTTTCTTTGTTATGACTTACCGTTAACCTGTCTAGTTGACCTTTTATTTCCCCTATAGAAACGTATTAACAAGAATACGATGTGTGACCAAGTAAATATATCACACAATTTTGATAGACTTCGTCTTCTCTTGCATTATCGAAATCTCCAAGATTCCTACGAACGTTTGTTAAAGTCGTCGTAACCATCGACTGTAAAGTTACTACTTGTGTATGGTGTGGTCTTGACTGTACACATAGGATTCCTTCGATTTAACAACACTCATTAACATCTTGTCCCCAAATTTTGGTTTCGGCTTCTAATTAAGTTAGACTTCGTTTATGGTCACCGACGGCTTGACACAAATTTTCTTACATTAAGTGCATGAAGATTGTTTAAAAGTTAAACAGAGTGGAAGTGTCATAATGACGAATTATTTCGCATAGTTAAGTCCCTGATTAAAAGCTTAACATATGGGCATCACAAGTAGTTAATGCACATAAATAGAAAAACAATCACTATTGTAGAAGTGCTGATATTGGTATTATATTTGTTTCAAATTAGAAAGTCGTTTAATATCGCTATGCTGTCTGTATGTGCTGATATCCAATCACACATGCGTCAGTAGGCTAGCTAGAAGAACAGAAGAATGTCCGTAAGGAGTAGGAATCTCAGTTAGTGTTCCAGGTAGTTCAGTTTGATTCATTTATTTTGGGGAGATTTTTCCGATCTCGTTATTGTTTGCTCGTGACAGAATTCAGTATTGCTACTAATAAATATAAGCTGTTGCAAAAAATTCATTTAATACTTGAAAATACTGACAATTATGTGGATCTCGGACAGACAGCCGTCGATAGTTCAGTGAATGTTAATGCATCCGAGAAAGACATACTCTAGACTCAATGTTCTGGTTTGCAACAGATCAGTTATTTTTATTCATACATACCGGTTAATGGTGTACACAAGGCAGTTGCAATTACCAAGTTTTTAATAATACAGAGGTCTATTTTTATGAAACTCAATGACTATAAGGTGTGAGAGTCAGTTGAGCTTATGGGCTACAAATATAGGTGAGATGGTTTTGTATGATCCTTTTGGCTAAATCAATCTTTACAAGTTGATAAACAGTGAGTGATGCTCATGTGATCAATGGTGAGAACATTAGTTGTGATCAAGGGGAGTACAACTCTCACTTATGTTTATAGTAATGGCATAAACCTTTGTCAGTGATTGTCACTGGTGAACACTTTTTTGATAGTTTGCTGTGACCAGATCACGAGTGGGAACGCCGTGCTCAACAACCCATGCAGTCGCTAGCCGGATTAGATCAGACTAACCTCAATATATTGATAGCCTCCTCGCCTCTGTCTTTTGATTTCACTTGGTGGGTACGATTCATATTAGAAGGCGTTACTGGTTAACGTGTTGTCAAACTCCGAAAACCTGTGTTATCTTCACCATCAATGAATACTCCATCCTGGAACTTTTTTATGACCTGTTGATTTGACTCCAACTGGATGTCAACACAATATACATTCCAAAAACCTTCGCACGTAATTATCGACTTAACTGAAGTTGGAGAATAACGGAGTCAAATAAGTCAAATACGAGAATGAATTTTGGATCAGTATATTTCGTACAATCGTTTGTTTAGATGGAAGATCAGTGCAACGAAGTGGAGCAAGGCAAGTGTGCGAAACTCTCTATGCTTTGACTCGTTTCTCGCCTATCACTTCTCATTCTGAATGTTTCTCTGGACTAACAAGTGTATGAAATATACTGATCCAAAATCCATTCTCGTACTTGACTTATTTTATTCCGTTATTCTGTAACTCGAATTAAGTCGATAATTACATACGAAGGTTTGCGGCATGTATGTTCTGTTCACATCATCGCTCGACGTAACTGGAATAATATCGACAGGTCAAAAAATGGTGAGCTTGATGTGATGGACGAGGTGAGCGATGGGTACGTATACGTTGATGTAAAAACAGTCTAGTTTAATAAGCGAATAACTGACAATATCAAAATGTGATTTAAAAATAGATTGGTTAGTCTATCCGAAATCTAGAGTTACTCATGTGCGCTCGACATAGTGCCACATACCTAAACGTTTACAAAGTCCCTCCTGGCTATATTGTGCTTAAAGATTAGTCACATAATCCATCTTTCACGGAATATATCTGATAGATGTTCCCTTATTTACATCTTTTATTGATTTTCCAACCCCTGAAAGCATTAAGCTGTCGGTGGTGATCATGATACAAGTTAACTTGTCGGCCGTTAGACGAATAGTGGGATAAGCACTTAGCTCATCACAACAACTGTACGACATAGGTCTCAGTCGGAACAATTTCAACGAAATGTGATCGAGAAAGAACTTAGGGTTGCCAAGAAACATCATTTATTAAATCCGAAAGCATTAAAGTTGAAGTAAACATGGAACGATTAGAAAATGGAAAATATAAACTCTGTTTTATAGGTTTGAAGCGCATTTTTGGCCAGTTTGACGGAAGAACTTTCCACACAATCTTCACTAGTTTCATCCGTCCTCATTTAGAGTACGGAATTATAGTATTCCCCCTTCACTCCAAAAGGACAAGGTCACTTTGGAGCGTATCCAACGGCGAGCCACGAAATCAGTTCGAGGACACAAATCTAAGCCTTACGAAGAGCGCCTCCAATCACTTAACCTTTACCCATTAGAGTATAGGCGTCTTAGAGGTGATCTATTAATGACTTATAGTATTCTTAACACTTCTGGACATCCTCTACACCTACTTAAGCTTAGTTCGAATAATAACCTTAGGGGTAACACCCAGAAACTGGAAACACAACATAGCAAGACGGAATATAGACACAACTTCTACTCCTCAAGAGTTGTCAAAAGCCGGAATTCGCTGCCGGCCGAGCTAGTCCAAGCGACTTCTCAGGAGTCCTTCAAGAGGCAACTTGACCTATTCTTAAGGACCAAGGACAGCATCACCCTATGATTTACCAATTTCTTTTCCTCTTTTATTGTTAACGTACCTAGGTTCCAGCCTGGAGGATTTGGTGATCCCCTGCTACTAGACACGGAGGCCTGTTAAGCGAAAGCTTCTTCTATTACGTCCACAACCATTTGAACCATTTGAAGTGACGAGCATGGCATACTCACTGGTGACCTGACATGGATACTTGACCAAGCACCTTTATCCACAGAGTGTCCGGTAAAATTAACAAGTTCAGCATCAATACCGAAGACTTACGTAACTATTTATTTGAAGGATTTATTTACTGCTATACCAACTTAGGAGCTTATGTATTGAACGTTGAATTGACCAGGGAGCCCCTTTCAGTTCAAAGTTGACGCGGTTAAAGCGTCTTTGACTTTCAGATGTCTGGTCAGAGTGATCTTGATCGTCAAATCGAACAATTAAGGGCATGTAAACTTATTACGGAAGACGAAGTTAAAGCACTGTGTGCAAAAGCAAGAGAGATCCTTATTGAAGAAAGCAATGTGCAATGTGTAGATTCTCCAGTAACAGTAAGTTACGTTGGATTCAGTAAACTTCCTTAGGTATGTGGTGATATTCATGGACAGTTCTACGATTTAATCGAATTGTTCAAGGTTGGCGGAGATGTGCCGGACACTAACTATCTCTTCCTCGGTGATTTTGTTGACCGCGGATATCACAGCGTCGAAACATTCCTTCTTCTCCTCGCGCTGAAGGTAAATTATTTTCTGTGTGTTCATTTGTATAGGTCAGGTATCCAGACAGAATCACACTCATACGAGGCAACCATGAAAGTCGGCAGATAACAATGGTTTACGGATTTTACGAAGAATGCTTGAGAAAGTACGGCTCAGCGATGGTCTGGCGACAATGCACTGAGATATTTGATTATCTATGCCTTTCTGCCATTATCGACGGAAGGGTAAGTAAATACAAAACATGCTTGAATACCGTTTGCGCACACAGAAGAAATCCGCAAGTTTTGCCACTGGAAATCCATTTCGCTTATTGTTATTAGTGCACATCTTACTGTCATGAGAAGTTTAACAGGCAAACCGAATATAGTGAGTATCGAAACTCAAGCTATGTCGTCCGTTAAATTTCTTGGTGTAGGTACTAACTCGCTGCGTGGTGACACACTATCGGAATCCTTTATCTGAACATAAAATCATACCTAGTTTCAAAAAGTGGATACGCCATAAAATTAAGTGACTCTACAAACTGTAAAGTTTCTTTCTCATAATCCTGCTAATATCCTTGATTCGATGCTATTGATAGGAGAGGCCCATAGAGTATCATTATATCCTTGTCAATTTATTAGTGTCAAATTGTGGGAGTTGAGATACTATAAAAAATTTAGATTAGATTTCGGCGAGACTCTAACTTAGGGACGACCTTTGAACTAATCTTAAATGACCTTGATAATTATTAGCCAATCAGAAGACAGTATAAAGTGAAAATATATTATAAGTAAGTAATGAATTACAGTGAATATTCTTCTTTTACATGATTTAAAAGCTTGTTAAGGTTTGATAAAGGTTCAGAGGTTGGCTTGTCCCTAAATTAGAGTCTCACCTAGATTTCTTATTGATATACTTCAGTATTAATGGCTTAATTATTATTAATTTATTTGAACACATAAATATTGGCACGCAGGTGCATCAAATACATATGCGCCACACAAGTCAGCAAACTTGCGTGTTGGCTGTGGTACTGCCCGGGTGCTCAGACTGAAGCAGATGGTTTTCTTAGGAGGCCACATCCAGAGCCTTCGACCGGAAGGTCTTACCCACAAGGCAGTGGAGCAACGTAAGGAACTGCAGTTTCATGGTAACCGGTAACCAATAATTGGTTCATACGCCATTTGTTGCCTCATGATCCTGGAGCTAACCGATGTACACCTTTAGTTTGAAATCAGGGTTTCCCGGTCCTCTAGGTATGTCTTCCACATCCACCGATCCGTTTCAAGAGCCGGAAATTCGCTTTTCGTCCTCTCAATTGCGTAGACAATAACCCTGCCGCGAGAAGGCAGTGAGTAGGACTTCCCTATCAGTTGCTGTATACGCGTGTCTATGTGAAAGCATTTGGAGAGGGAGAGCTGAGTCTCCCCACTCTTGACCGTGCCAAGGCATGTGGAGGCTAGGTTATGCCAACATCTGTAATTGAATGGTTATTCTATGTTCGTAACTAATACATACAATCATTACAATTTGTTTATCGTATTACTGGTCAAGTTTCCAGTACCCGTAGTTTATGTTGTCAATGCTTCAGATACATATCTGTTAACAAGTAAGGCATTTTCTTTAACTGAAGTCTGCAACTATGCAATGTAAATTCTCCGTTTTGATGTGTGAAATGCTGTCAGTCTACATTTTTGTAGGGTCCCATGTCAATTATGACTATGTGATTCGTCCTTCAGGTTTCATATTTTTCGAACAACTAGATATTACTGTCGTATCGCTTCTCGTTTATGAAAACCATAGAACTGACATTCGTTTTTCATAATTTATAAATACTGTAATTCTGTTTGAGTTTATTTTCCTATCACAACTGGGAATAACATGGGTATCTCCATCAAATGAAAAGGTTACTTTGGTCTAATTTTTTGGATCCCGTTATCTCTTTTCATCTACTAACGTATAAAAGTGTGATTTCTATTCTCGTGGATATCAATTTAAATATTTTAAATGTCTCGTTCAAAAAAGTATGTCCAGTTTAATAATAAATGCATTTATGAATGTTAATTTTCTTCAATAAGATATTTTGTGTTCATGGAGGCCTATCACCTACAATTACAACATTGGATCAAATCCGTACCATTGATCGTAAACAGGAAGTCCCACATGATGGTCCAATGTGCGATCTTTTATGGTCAGATCCAGAAGAGACTGCTGGTTGGGGAGTGAGCCCTAGAGGTGCCGGCTATTTATTTGGTTCTGACGTTGTAGCTAATTTTAACCAAGTAAGTTAACTTTGTTTGCAGCACCTTAAATATTTTCTTTATTCAAAAAAGATTTAGCCATTAACATTAAATGTAAGAATTTATGGTTTTTACATATCTTAACAGCGCGTAAATTATGACTAAGCAGTAGATGTCGTAGTTGCCTCTTGGATTCTAGGATCAATAGCGAAACTCAAGTGTATTATTTCGTCAAGTATAAAACCCTACTTTTTTACGCAGTAAATGGGCATTAGTTTAATTTTAGTACAACATAAAGCAGTATCACGTTTATCATCAATCTCGCATAATTAAAATCTTCATGTTACTGATGTACAAAAACCTTGGTATAAAAAGCATTCATTTTCATGAAATAATGTTCGATATCAGAAGGGAGATGGCTAATAAGTATAACTGTACTGCTGCTACCGACTCCGAGACAGTCTAAATATGAATTTTAATTTTCAGACTTGCTTTGACCATAAAGTTGGCATTTTCTCACTTATCAAGTCAACAATCAGTGATTTCATAAACTACTGTTATGTCTTAATGTGATTCCCGTTTCATTTTAAAACATACTACTATATTAGCCATTTTAGACCACAGGTGAGCACACGTGATATATATATCTGAATCCGGTCAGTCGATAAAAGTGCACAACTTCATTACCTTTCTGTAGTAATCAGTGGCTAACATCCCCACTGCTTACTTATTAGTTTCATTTGGTGCAAGCATTGTTTTAAAAGAGCCTATATGTGTTTCGGTCTCATATATCGTGTTTCACATCCTTAGATTAGTTAAGATCTGGTTGCTGTATAGTTTCTTTTCTTTTAACTGGCATGTCACCTATTCCACGGGTGGAAAAAACTAAGCAGTTTTTCCGTATCCATGCATAAATCTTGTCAATTTCTAGGGCTGATGAAAACCCCCAACTAGTTGAAGTAATCAACACTGCAGCTAACTTACTATGGCCAAGACAATTAATAGGTTAACGCAAGATATCTATGAAACAATATTTCTGGATTTGAATGATGAGGGGTCAGGTCTCTTAAGCATAGAGCAAAACTGCTCTCACTGACGCGTTGTAGATCCGAACTTTTACAGCCAAACTACCATCACGAAGGTGCCAAATGTGGCCCAGATTGGCACAAGCCGCTCTGGCTTTTACTTTACGTGAATTATGGTGTGGCAACTCGAACTGATGTACGTACGTACGAAGTTCTACGTTGTTACTGACTGACTGACTTACGTGAATTGATCTCATCATCGCCATCACCGGCACTTATGCAGCTACCCGGATACACGGACTTATCGTCTACTATCCGCTGACTGCCCAGCGTGAGTGCAGGTTCAGGGTTCTCCCAGTCTTGTAAAAGTACTTCACACTTGGAAAGTGCAAAGTACATGCCATACCTACGTACACTGCCAACTGATTAAGTGCGGATTGCATGGCTTGGGTATCATCTCACAGTATGACAATATCCGCATACTCATGGTTGAAAAGTTTCTCCAGGCAACAGATCCACACCACCATTAACTTCATTCATCACAACTGTTTCCGGAACGTCATCGATGGCAAAGTTGGAGAGAAATGGTGAGACCGGTCAACCCTGTCTAACGCCGCTGTTTGAATGGAACAGTGGTGATAGTTAGTTGTATGCGCTCACTCTGCCTGAAGTGTTAGTATATAGGGCATTCAGGATGTTAATAAACTTCTTAGAAGCACCCTTCTTCAATGGATAATCCCAGAGAACAGTCTTGTCCAAGGAATCGAAGTTGGCCATGATGTCAAGTAACAAAACGATTATTGACCTGCAATAAGTATAGTGGTGTTCTAACATCTGGGAATGATGGTGAAGATATGTTCAATACATCCTCGACCAGAACGAAATCCAGCTTGCTCCTCGTGAGTCAATCTCGGACGCGATCGGAAGTAGACTTATCCCCCGATAGTTGTTGCAGAAACGACGTTAACCCTTTTTAAAGATAGGGACAACTATCACCTCATTCTACGATGTTAAAACACTAATGCCCAGACCTTTGTAAACAGCTCGGTCAGTTTCTTAACCAGAAAGTCGCCACCATCTTTAAAAAGGCCAAAGGTAAGTCATCTTGATCTGGTGATTTGTGATGCATCAGGAGTTGGAGTTCCTTGATCAGTCGTCACCGGTCATAAAGGGAAGAACAGTCTCATCGGTGTCACTGGGGTAGCAGACCACTAATAAACTATCCAAGTCGTCTGTAGGTGTTATTGATTGGCGATCCATCAGTTTTGCAAGTTGTTTCGCTCATCATACTTCATGGTGCCAGTGGCTCGGATAAATTGAGAGAGCTTCCTGCAGTTACCAGATACAACTCATTAGCACGCTCCGACCATCAGGCTGCTCGGTCCTTACGCAACATTTGCATAGTCTCGTTACATAGCGATCTTCGTTTATCTTCAAACTAGCTGGAGTAGACCGACGTGCTTTGACAAATTGTACGAAGCCTGCAGGAACCCAATACTTATAGGCAGAACGTTTCGTGAAGTCGTACTTAACTTTTCTCATCGTTTTCATGGCGTCATTCAATTGCAACGAATGCTTATCTATATTTTTCGGTGTGCTGGTAGCTAGCCTTAAACCTAACTCGGTGTGATATTTAGTTGCAACAGAAGCTGCAACCAATTTGTTGATATCGATCCGTTTGGGACCTTAAGTATGTTGGCCACTGAAACGTAAGGTAAGCATAGCGCGAATAAGGGCATGATCAAAATTCAGATTTCTCCAAAATGAGCAGCAGTCTTGTACACCACCATGCCAGCAGTTGATCGCTATGTGACCAATCTGAGTTTAGGTTTAAGGATGCAGAGAGATGACACCAGGTAGCAAATCGGCGGTGACTGTGCCAGTAGTTAGTGGTATCCAGAAACAGGTTGTTGTCTGCGTACAGTTGCAGTAGACAATCATCGTTATCTGAACTGCGACCAACAAGTCCCCATCGGCCATCCAAACAATTCGCCTCGGTGCCTAGACGCCCTACCTGAACATTCAAGTCTCCGGTTAGTACTTATACCTTTGGTTCGAAATCAGGGTTTTCTAACTCCTCTAAATAAGATTTTCATATCCACCAACCTGGCGTAAGCGATGGAAGTCACTTTTCATTTCCGTGAATAACAACCCCATCGCTGAGTGAAGGCAATGAGTAGGACTTCCCTAGCAGTGGCTATAAACACATGACTATATAAGAGCATATCTAAATGGAGAGGTGATTCCGAACCTCTTATATACTTGGGTATTTAGAGGCGACTGGCTTCGTAGTGGAATGTCTTAAGCTTATGATTGCTGACGACTTGGATACAAGTTGGGAAGCCATTCCATCTAGTTGTATTTCGATAGCTGCATATTATTAATATACATCATGCGGCGCTTGTATCTCAAAGCTCAAGTACAAAACTATTTTTAGCTAATCTTGGGAAAAACACGTGATTCATAGGGTGTTCATGTTGGTTTTGAAGCATAAAGTAGCAACTTGACTTTGACACTGGTTGGTTTATTTTAAGTATGAAACAAAGCTATCCAAATGATAATTCTGCATCAACAGTCATAATCTTGGTAAACTTGAAAAATGTTGGTCGATTTTTACCATCAATTATGCACATTACTGTAAAGTATACTGACATCAAACCTCTTGATATTTCTTAAAATAAAATAAAGTTATAGTTTCAGAAATTGCAATCAAATTTCCAAGTTCATGATATTATTCATATTATCACATAACAAACAAATGACGATTGGTAATGTAGAAAAGATAAATTCATGAGTTTTTGTTTCACTTTGGTGTATCTTCAATGTGTCTCACCTTAGTTGCTACCATAACGTGGTGGTCGGGTTCGTCTCATGATGACTCAGTAGAGCTATATTGATCGAGAAACTTGTTCTTTTAGGTCCTACCATGCTAAGCGATAGCTTAATGGCTTTAAGGTGTTCGACTTTTGGCCGCCAAGTTCCAAATTCAAGCCCCGCTCCATCTACTTCAATCTGGGCAACCAAATAGTATCATTAGCCTCACACATATAGATTGTGGTTCGTTCCCGAATCATCAAGTGTATACAGTCTTCCCACAACGAAAGGGGGGTTTAGACAAGGTCAACCCTTGAAATATTTGAATGACAACTACTCAGTATTTGTTTTACTGGGAGAAGTACATATTATGCCATACGAAAATAGTATATATATATATGGTTCATAGTGTGAATAAGCTGACCAAATCAGATACTTTTGGATTGAATAGTAGAGTTAAGTTATCTATAGTTCACATAATATTAAAGTTTCTTTAGTTGTTGGCTATAGTACTCTGATCATCATCCTTTTGCAGTCACAATATTACAAAGAATATTTTTTTACCATCTATTCATCATAGGTTTTTCTTAGCTTTGACTAGATATATGTTGTTATCAATCGGTAATATTTCATTATCTTTTTGTGTATATATATATATATACATTCTAGTTGAATCGGATCGACTTCATTTGTCGTGCACATCAATTAGTTATGGAAGGTTATCGTTGGCATTTTCATGAAAGTGTTCTTACTGTATGGTCTGCTCCAAATTATTGTTATCGTTGTGGTAATGTTGCCGCTATTTTACGTTTAAATGAAAGATTAGACAAGGAATTTTCCATATTTGAAGCCGCACCACAGGTAATTCATATACATATTTATATTCCACTGTTATATTACATACAAATCGAACTGTAGTCATTGTAGGATACAGCGATTCAATTTTATTGATCGATAAATTCCGTATAATCAACACGTTTAATGAGCAACAATAGCAGTACGCTTTTTTGTTTTGATGTAAAGTATTTTGAAGACTAGTCAATCAATTTATAATATGATTTTAAAAGTAGTCATAAGCTATGGAGCGGGAAAATGTTGGTATGCACCGAAATGTTTTAGGCATTCACATCCAGATACTGATTTTTTGACAGATGTACTAGGGTTATAGACAATTATTATTATTTAAACACATAAACATTGGTACAAGGAGGCACCAAATAGGTATGCGCCACATAAGTAATTCTATTTGTGTGAGGGCTGAGATACTGCACGGGTGCCCAGACCGAAGCAGGTAAGTTTCTTAGGGGACCATACCCCGAGCCTTGGACCTAAATGTCTGACTCACAAGGCAATGGAGCATCGTGAGGAGATGCAGTCCCATGGTAGCCGGTGACCAACGATTGGTTCATACACCATTTGTTCCCGTAGGATACTGGAGCCCATGTGCACCATTGGTTTGAAATCCGGTTAAAGCGCCGGACATTCGCTCTTCGTCTTCTCAATTTCGTAATTAACACCCCCGACACGAGAAGGCAATGAGTAGGACTTCCCTGGCAGAGGCTGTATACGCGTGGCCGTGTGAGAGCATTTCGAGAGGGAGGGCTGCCCCACCCCACTCTCGGCCATACCAGGGCATTTGGGGGCTATAGACAATAAATTTTCCAAATAAAATTTCTTAAGATATTTCTCCTATAAATTCACTAGGTATTAAGTGTTTGTTACTACTATCAATTTTGTGATGAATACCATCTTGGTTAAAACGATGAATAGAATGCTACTGATCATTATATAATGTATATTGATATGATGTAATCAACTGATAATTATTCACAAGCCTGAGTTACTAACACAAGTTCCATAACATAATTTATATTAGTAAAAATGGCATACAAAATATATGTTTATAGGTCACCGAACATATGGGGAATACAAGTTTTTTTTTAGTTTATTCACGTGACATTCAAAGGATGGTCTGATAAGACCTAATTATTGTTTATCACTCTACATTTCTCATGAAATAAGATAGTAACTGTTTATGACAATCTGTTTTTTTTTAAATTTACTTTACGGCTGCGAAACGTGACCATTAAAAGTTGAAGATATTCGTAAGCTACTAGTAATTGACCACAGATGCCTTAGAAATATTGCTCGCATCTACTGGGATCACCGGGTAAATAATAGTGAGGTTAGACGCAGGGTATTAGAGAATGATGGTAAATCAGTTGATGAGGTTATGAATTTTCATCGACTGAGATGGTTAGGCCACGTGTTGCGCATGTCTGAACACCGATTACCACGATACGCAATGCTAACTGGTGTTCGGGATGGATGGAAGAAAATTAGGGGCGGCCAAACCAAAATGTGGCATCAGACCTTTAAGTCACTAACTTCTAGTCTGAGCCATGTTGGTAGATACAAACTACTTGGTTGGGGTCCGCGTGACTATCTTAATCAATGGTCCGAGACTCTGTGACAAGGCTCAGAGTCGATCACGATGGCGTAGGTGTATACACCGTTTGTCTTCCTTTAAACTGTGAGATTTAAAATAGCTTTATATCTTTCTTTCTACGAACTAATTCTTTCTTCATGTACTATATCCTTATATGCAATCTTTCATATATTACACTATTGAGTTAACTGCTTTTATGAATCCGGTGTTCGTCTTGCTGTGGCAACTTGGACCGATGCATATATGTGCCTGGTCTCACGTTGTAGCTGGCTGTTTTTTTAAAGTTTGGTTTCTCTTTATAAATCATGATGCTACTGATTCAAATCTCATCAAAGGAATCTTGTGACACTACTTGATTTTCACATCTCCATCGACCCCTCAATCTATGTGGAAAACTTGCTACATTTATAGCTTCTAAGGTCTGATTAGTTGTCGACTCAGATGAAAATTAAAATGCCTAAACCCTGAAGTTAATTAACTTCTTTGAAGTGCTGACATCTATGCTCTACCATATACATTTTTATGTACTCGTTTGGTCCTACGTTGTAGCTGACTGACTCGTCTTAATATCACTCTAATTGTGTGAAGGTTGCTCATACTCTTCAGCTTTGTTGACAGCGACTAATCTTTATCACCCTTTCAGTTAGTGCGCTTCGGTTTAGATTTAAAATAAGATCACCTTAACAGGGTATTTTTCATGAAAGGATAATCAGTTGATAAAATATCCCAATGACTATTGTTAACGAATAAATAATTTAGTATAAAAACTGAACCTCAAATTTCAACTGATTAAAGTAGTACGAGTATAAGTTAGTTATAGTTATCAAGCAATTAATAAAGATCAGAGGGAAACCGATAAGATTGCAACTGTGTCCATCATCTCAAGTGTATTATTCGTAATAGGGTGACTTATCAAACTAGTTTCTAGTTATTTGCCACATCATATCAACTTGGAAAAACTTGTCTACTGAGTGACCCAGCCGCTCATAGTTACTGATACATCGACTATGTTGTTGACTAGAATTGTAAACCCGTTTCTCATGGCATCTCTACAATCCCAATGCACCTTTTTTTGCATCAGCTGATTAGCTACTTGTGGTTGGAAATTCATGTATAACAAGTTTATGTAGCTCTGAAAGTGCTATAATCCAAGTCATTATAATTAGTCGTCCTTCACATGCAACAACTGTTACTTGTAGAATTTTAGGAATCACGACACATTGATTATGTTCAGAATGTTGGACAATAGTTAATCGGCAACATTGTTATAACCGGCAGTCGTCACTAATTTGTATTTCGTGTCAAAATTACAGCTCGATGATGCTGTTAACCAACATTTTATTTGCATGGTCCTATCGACTGAGGTTCTTAATTCATTGTACCAGATATTTTTTTTACACTAAGAAACACAGTTTTTTCTGTCAGGAGTTCCTCACACGATCTATATTAGAGAGTTTACATGTCACTTAAAATCTATCTTTATCACCCTTCTGCTTGGTCGGAGTAGATTAAAGTAACATCAGATAGAGATATCTATTTCACATTTTCCCGCTTTGACCGATGTAAGGCGTACCAGTCATAAACCGTTTTATCAAGCATCGATCTTTCATAACAAGTTTTTACGACATTCAAGCAGGTAACAATAAAAGCCCCTACTTCATTGGTTGGTATAATTCGAAAAGAAAACTTTGTCTCCAAATCATTTTCTATAGCTTACTCCCGAGTTTTGGGGCTCCATGTCCCGTGAATTAGGCCACACATAGACGTCTCATGCTTTACAAATAATGTAACCTTATTGTATAAGAAGGGTATCCTGCTAGAGTTTATAGCTAGAAGAATTTCTGTAGATTGCTTGGTAATAATGGTCTTCATTCTTTATCATAACTTTATTACAGGATGTCCGGAGTATACCAGCTCGTCGACCAATACCAGACTATTTCCTTTGAAGCATATGAAACAAAGTCATTTTGTTCTCAATGATGATAATAATTACTGTTATTATTTCCCTTGTTTATAAGCCCTTCTCACCCTCCTTTTGTCAATTTTTGTAATTTTACTTCTATTTATCAGTGTGTTTTATAAAATGTATTTCTTCCCCCCCTTCTCAATACTCAACTATTCCAAGATTCATTCATGCATTGTTTACAACTTTTTTGTTTTGTTTTGTTTTTTTGATACCCACAGTCAAACAAATTGCATTCTACTAAGTTTTTTTTACTATTAAATGTGAAGGGAGTTTCTATTTGTGTATAACAATATCCATTTGGAAAAAGAGAAAGTTTTCTTTAAAGAAAATAACGTATATATATATTATTATTGTTCATTAGATGTAAATTATACTGAATATGCAAAGTATAAATAAAAGAAAAGAAAAGAAATTAATGTCTCAGGGAATCATCATCTGTCTTCTTCTTCTTGTTTTTGTTGTTTCATTTTACCATTGTGCATTTCTTAATTCAGCAACTAATTTAATAAAATCACGATGACTTGCATAAAGTTGTAGATCAGAATTAATATCTGTCCAACGTACAGCATCTGCATCATCACCTATTTGATTATGATAATGTAGGGGGGGGGATTAAGAAAGATATTTCCTCTTTTATTTTGCTAGTAAATCTGTTTGTTTATCAATAAGTAATAAATGTAAGTTATATGGACCGTTGGAAGAGGGGGTATATTTATTTTCAGAAGGGGTTTGTGGAGATTTTTAGAAATTTTCACAGATTGAAATCATGAGTCAATTGAAGCTAGACCACACTGGAAAACCTGGAAGCACTGGACGGCCGTTTCGTCCTAGTATGGGACTCCTCAGCAGTGCGCATCCACGATCCCGCACCACGCGTGGCTCGAACCCAGGACCTACTGGCTTCGCGCGCGAGCACTTGACCATTAGACCACTGAGCCGGCATCCAACGGTGTTAATGTCTAACTTCAACCAATCCACGAAGTTGCGCCACCATATACCATTGTCTTCAGTGAGCTGATATCTCACAACAGACCTGGTTGTACTCCACTGGTAACGGCTTCCCACTAGAACTCCAGGAGTATCTCTTGAAGTCAGTCACTAGTGAGCAGATGATTATTATCCTACTGCGTACCACTAAGGATGAGTGTAGGTACAGGCTTCTGCCAGTCTCGTGAAATTACTTTGCACTTAGAAGGTGCAAGGCACATACTGTCCTTGTGGACACTGATTGACGACTGACGAAGTGCAGATTACGTGAAATCATCTCAAAGCCGAAAGATCTATCTGCAGGTAACTGACCCGCATCACTATCTATTTTTGTCAGAGCTATTTGCAGAATGCAATTGACGGCAAAGTCGAAGGAGAATACTGAGATCGGATAACACTGTCTAACCCGACTGCTTGGATGGGGCAACAGAGAGGTGGTAGTGAAGAGGCTTCAAGATGTTAATAAACTCTCCAGATGTGTTGGAGAAGGGGACATGCCTGTGGCTAAGCGTAGTGCAGCGGCAGCTCAGTGGTTCGACTTCCAGCCACTAAGTCTCGGGTTTAAACTCCGCCCCTCTACTGTGGTTCGAGCAACAGAGTGGTATTACTACCTCACAACTACGTATATGGGTTAGTGAGTAAAAAATAACCAAAATTGAACGGTAGGTCTCATTCAAACAACAATGTGGTTAAGTTTAAATTAGGATATACATGCGCTTGGGATGGAAGCTGCTGCTACACAGACCACAGATGTGGTTATTCTTGAATAAGTAGTAAGCATAGTGCTAACATGCTGAAAATCAACTGAAAAACATTAGTTTATGAAATATTTCCAACGGCCAGGATTTTTGGAACCGGTTCTTTAAAATATTTGAAAATGAGGATCAGATTACGAAAGCATTGTCAACGTAGACCCTTTGAATCTTATCACTAACCCTCAGTCATATACATAGTCCATAAAAGAATGATAAAGATGTAAATGAAGAAGTTTGACAGTGTTTTAATCACGGTATTTTTCTAAACACCACTTGACTGATGTATACACAGTGTATGGAAATGATCAGCAAACTTACATCCCAGTGGAAAGAGTCTCACGTATATTTTATGACAACGCTATTCGTTGAGGGTAGTGGACATAGGATGGAAAGTTGAATTTAGGAAAGAAAACTAACGGTAAATCAATGTTTAACAGACTACCGCTTAAGTGCTATGCTATTATTGTAGATATTGTTTAACAGGTTGAATACGATAGTTTGAAACTAAGAATAACATCAAGAATAAATAAAACTGAACATGATCTACCTGCAGTTAATGGAAATAACGCTAGACAATTGCCAACTTCATCGTGAAAATTTACTGCCACAGTTTCCATCCATGCATTATCTGTATTACGTGGATCATCCACATAACCCTTATAAATCTATATCAAGGTATACATTAATGAGAGATTAAAAGAAAACCCTGTAAATTATGAATATTTATCATCAGTGAATAATTTACAAAATGATAATGATTCAAAATACTTTGTTGAAAAAACGTTTGGTAAAGTACTGGTTAAATCTTATTAGAAGGGATTTTGTGGATATTATAGTAATTTTGGTAGTTGAGATCATGAGTCAATTGAAGCTAGATCACCATAGAAAAGCTGAAAGCACTGGACGGCCGTTTCGTCCTACTGTGGGACTCAGTGGCAGTGCGCATCTACGACCCCACCTCGCTAGATTCGAACCCAGGTTTATTGATATGTCCTCACATGAAATTATACAGAAGAGAAAGACGTAGTATGTTGGGGATGTTTAGACGGCTCATATGCTGTTGGAAGGTTTGTGGAGGATTTTGTGTGAATGAGAGGATTATTTGTCTAGACAGATTGATTACCCACATATTCCTCTCTGCATTAGTCTAGTATCGTACATAAACGCATAGCTTGTGTAAATTTACTGTCTAACTTTCGGCCTCTAATGAACTGTTAGTCTGTGTAAATGTTAGGAAACATTGAACAGTCGAACATAACAATTGAATATCTAGTTAATATAAACAAGTGTCAGTTGGGAAACATCTATTCTAGATGTTTATAACTGAGTGGGCATCATCAAATCAAATTTGGTCATATTCAGATAATAACAACCAAGAATTTGAACTCTATTTATGATTTTGTTCACTGACAGCCACAGTATACGTAAACAATCGATTATTTAGGCAAGAGAATTTCATCCGGTATAATCAAATTAGAACACTAGAATAAGCGACTAAGTCATCTTAATTTATTTCTCAACATACTATAAATACTAAATCTTAATATATGCAAAATTAAGATATTTGCTTAACAATTTTTACGACTAATGAACTTATAACCTATGAGTGGTAAAATATCTAAAATCAATTAATCTATAATTAACTTTAAAATAACTTCATTTACAGTCAGTCAGTTACAACGTAGGATCAGGCACATTTATGCATCTGTCCAAGTTGCCATATCTGATTAGCACAACAAGATGAACATCAAATTCATAGAAGTAGTTAATTCAATAATGATAATATATAAAAGAAAGGTTGCATATAAAGAGAGAGTATAGGAAGAAATAGTCAGTTCGTAGAAAGAAAGATATGAAGTGATGTTAATCTCATAGTTTAAGGGAAAACGGGGAGTGTATACACCTACACCATTGTGATCGATTCAGAGACATGTCACCAAGAGTCTCCAACCATTGGTTACGATAGTTCTGCGGATCCCAACCAAGTAGTTTGTATTAAACAACATGGCTCAAACTAGAAGTTAGTGACTTAAAGGTCTGATGCCATGTTTTGGTTTGGCCGCCTCTACTTTCAAATTCTCAACGATTCGCTTAGTCTACCACAAATAGAACCAACAACCGATGATCTTATGGACGGATGTGCTTTGTTTATATTTAGCAGCCTCTAGCTTCTTTATAACGCTTTATGTTAGCTAGCTTAACTTATCAGAGTAAATAATAGTTTGGCATATGTAACATAATCCTAACCACTTGAGCTGATTAAGATCCATAAACCTAGCAATTGAATTATCATCTCTATCAAGTGCCCTCCAAACTTGATGTCAGAATTATTCACTTTATCCACTATCAACAGTGGATTGAAGGTAGTGTTTATAATCAAATATATTAACAGATAAACCAAATCTTTATTTTTTCGAAGACTATCCTTCACAATAGTAAACTAAACACAATAGACTTTGTTATGTAGTATTTATATTTATTTGAAAACAAAAATATTGGTACAGAGGAGCAACGAATACATATGCGCCATACAAGTCACTTGATTTGTGTATGGGCTATGATACCGCCCGGGTACCCAGACCGAAGCAGGTGGTTGTCTTAGGGGACCACACCCCGAGCCTTCGACCTAAAGGCCTGATCCACAAGGCGATGAACCATCGTGAGGAGATGCAGTCACATTGTAGTTGGTGACCAACAATTAGTTCATACGCCATTTGTTCCTTCAGGATCCTGGAGCCCATGTGTAATAATGGTTTGGAATCAGGGTTTTCCAACTCCACTAGGTGGATCCTCTGTATCCACCAGCCCGGTTAAATGGCCGGATATTCACTTTTCGTTCTCTCAATTTCGCAAACAACACCCCCGCCGCAAGTGGGCAGTGAGTAGGACTTTCTTGTCAGTGGCTGTAAATGCGTGGCCATGTGAGGGCATTTGGAGAGAGGTGATTCTCCCCACCCTCGACCCTACCAGAATCGATTTATTTGGATCTGCACTAAAAAAATGACATAAGTCAAGTGAACTCTCCTGTTTATATAGACTTGAACAATTCATCAACTATTTAACCAACACATTAAAGATGTGTGACGAAAATTTTAAACTAATAAAACTCTAATGGTAGAGATCATGAGTCAATTGAGGCTAGACCACCATGGAAAACCTGGAAGCACTGGACAGCCGTTTCGTCCTATCGTGGGACTCTTCAGTAGTGCACATCCACGATCCAGCCTTGCGAGATTTGAAATCAGCACCTACCAGTCTTCCAGGTTTTCCATGATGGTGATCTAGCTTCAATTGATTCATAATCTCAACTATTATAAAATTACTATAATATCCATCTATAGAAAACCCTTTCTGATATTAAAAATTTTATAAAACATCATAGTAAACAACTAATCAATATAAAATACAAACAAACAAACAAACAAACAAACAAACACACACAACTATCAAATATTTTAAGAAAGATTAGTTAACTCATAGTACATAATCAACTCTATTTATCTAAATAGAAAGAATAATATATCACTCTCCCTCTGTTTCTCTCTATGATATAGATTAGTATATGGAATAGCTTATTATTATTATTATTATTATTATTATTATTATCACAAAACGTACATTTAAATACCAGAAGAAAATAAAAAAATTTAAAAAAATTTTTTTTGTTAGTTTCGACAGAAAAACTTTCATTCATTTAGTTTCTATGTAGATTTTTTTATTAATGTACTTTTGTTTAAATAGTATTATGTGTATATATTATTTTTTTTTAAAAGAAATAATAACTTTAATGAAAATTCTCTACTATCCAGCACACGGGATTCAATCCGAAGAACTTTCGATCTCGCGCACGAACGTCTCAACGATGGTCAACTCATGAATTCAACTGTTAAAATACGACACTCTCTACAAATCCCCATACTGATAATACTTATGTGCTTATTAGTGACTAGCTTTAAGATGGATTTCCTAGAGTTTTAGTGAGAAGCCGTAACCAATGAAATCTAATCTGTGTCGGGTGTGAGAAAGTTATCCACTTTAGACAATGGATGAAGTTAGACATTAACACTGTTGGATACTGGCTTAGTAGTTTAGAGGTTAAATGTCAGTGCACGAGACCAAAGGTCCTGCGTTTGAGTCCCACGTGTGGAATCATGGATGTGCACTGTTGAGGAGTTCTGTAATAGGACGGAGAGATAATCCAGTGCTTCAAGGTTTTTCTAATGGTGATCTGGCTTAGATCAACTCATTAATTAAACTGTTAGCTGTTAAATTTATATAAGAAAAAAAAGTGATTGTTAAAAGCATGTTTGATTGATGAGTTAATCAGATAATAACTATAACTTATGAATTTTTGAAGGTAATTCTTGAAGGTTCTTGATATTTCGAAAGGACGATTACAAACTTTAGGCTTTTGGGTTCTTATGTAATACGTTATTTATTCATATCAAGTGCATGCTGATTGATTAAAAATGACTTGATTAAAATGACCATGGTCATTTTAAGAGTTGTTAGAGGTCTATCAGTGAAGTAGGTTTTTACCACGTAGTCCAAATCAGTCAGTGAGTCAGCTACAACGTAGGACCAGGCACATTTATGCATCAGTCCAAGTTGCCATACCTCATTAACACAACAAGATGGACACCGGATTCATAAAAGTAGTTAATTCAGAGATTGCATATAAGGATATAGTACATGAAGAAAGAATCAGTTAGTAGGAAGAAAGATATGAAGCAATTATAATCTCATAGTTCAAGGGAAAACGGGGAGTGTATACACCGACGCCATTGTGATCGATTCAGAGACATGTCACCAAGAGTCTCCAACCATCGGTTACGATAGTCACGCGGACCCCAACCAAGTAGTCTGCATCTACCAACATGGCTCAGACTAGAAGTTAGTGACTTCAAGCACTGATGCCACGTTTTGGTTTGGCCGCCCCTAACTTTCTTCCAACCATCCCGAACGCTGGTTAGCATTGCACGTCGTGGTAATCGGTGTTCAGGCATACGTAACACGTGGCCCAACCATCTCAGTCGATGAAGATTCATAACCTCATCAACTGATTTACCATCATTCTCTAATACCCTGCGTCTAACCTCACTATTATTTACCCGGTGATCCCAGTAGATGCGAGCAATATTTCTAAGGCATCTGTGGTCAAATACTAGTAGCTTACGGGTGTCTTCTACTCTTAATGGCCATGTTTCGCTGCCGTAAATTAAAACAGAACGGACTGCCGCGCAGTATACTCGTCCTTTTATTGATAGACGGATATCTCGCCTTCGCCAAAGGTGACGTAAGTTGGCGAAAGCCAAACGAGCTTTTCGAATCCGTGCTGAGATTTCGTCAGACACCAACCCATTAGGGCTGATCAGACTTCCAAGATAAGTGAAGTTGTCAACTCATGAATTACTGATAATTATGCAGAATATCATCACGTCTAGTCGGCAGAAAATGATATACCAACACCATCGAGTCACAATTTCTAACAGTTTATATATTTTTAACTTAAATTAATCCATACAATTTACAGCAACGATGGACATGGATACATATTTCTACACAATAATCATATGTTTACTAGTGACCAACTGTGGGGGATTAGTTCACCGAATTTTTGACGATAGCTCTTGTCGGTGCAGTTCTTTGTTGGGTTAGGATAATTATCATCAACAATCATCAAATGAACATTGAATACTAAAGTAAATTGGACTATGAGGGCTAGTGACAATACCCGACTGTTCAGATACAAGTAGGTACAGAGGGATTCAAATCTAGAACCGAATTAGGTGAAAGTGGTGTGAGCCTTAAGGACTGAACCTTAGTTGTATACATTCTCATTATTCTATCATTAGTTTGTGAGCGTGGAGTGTACTGCAGTTCACACAACAAGACGAAACCTAAAGCTTTCACGTCTCGTCGCACGAGGAAAACACTTTTACAAACTGATAAGTCAGAATAAAGTACTTTACCTTTTTTAAACTTGATTCAATCTATGACACACTGCAAGTATCATTAAATGTGATATCAGTGACAACTGTCTCATTTCTGGATGAACAGCATTGCTGAACTGCAGAGGACCATTGTAATCAAGTGATGAGCAGTCCATTTATTTATTTATGAGATTAACTAACAAATCACAATTTACAAAATTGAAGAAATATGTTACACAATTAAATAAACTGGGTATCTTTTAGAAGAAAAGTACCTACACAATTCTCTTCTCCGGGTCAATACTTACTTCAACTCCATGATGAAAAGCATCATCAACACGTTTTACGATCGCTTCTAATTCTTTTGGTGAAGCTGTTGTAGAATTTAAAGCTTCTTCAGAAAATTCTCTTTTTAACGTAGATGTATAATTTTCACCAGCGTCTACCATACCCTTAACACAACAATAAAATATAATTCTTATTAAGACTATGAAGTAGTTAGAGTGAGTATTAGATTTGCATATGCTTGTACTATTAAATAAGTGATTGAACAATGCTGACATTAGGGGTACAGTGACAAGGAAAGATAACGAAATGTTTAGTTCAAATGTGAACATTTATCGACTGAGATAGTTAGGATATTTCGTCTACGCTGACATGATTAATTCATTAATAAAGCATAAATTAATGTGCTTGGATTGAGCTACACTCTAAATGTTAGAGCTAATGATACTACTCAGCTGTCCAAACCAAAGTAGATAGTGTGTGGTTAGAACCTATGACTTCGTGACCATAGTTTGAAAGCCTTAACTACTGAATAGCGCAGCTTGATTCTGTGACACAGCCACATAGATGATAATAAGAACAACAGAATTCCTTAAATATAATTTCAAATCTTTTAATTCATTTCAATTTTCACCACCATCAAGTTTAACCTATTTATAAGCCTTCAAGCCTACATCTTAAAAGGGACTATTCTCTATGACACCACTGTTTTTTCAAAAATATTTCGAATAGAGTCGCAGACATTAATCTTAGAAATATCTGATAGGTTACGTTATAAATCACTCTTATATTTGAATATGGTAATCATTATAACATTAATGAGAGTCTTCTATAATTCCTTAGGAAAGCCAGAGAAATTGTTGACAACACTCCGAACAATCAAAGTCCTTTGAAAATGTCGTAGAGAAATTTAGAAAATAAGTAGTTGGAATTCCTTTTATATCCTGATTGGATGATTCCTAAATTAGTAAGCAAAATAATCTTTATAACTAAGTATTTGTCTTGTAAATTACATTTAATATATCAGTCATTAACAACGTAGAACTTCGTACGTACGTACGTACGTACATACATCAGTTCGAGTTGCCATACCACATTAGCACAGAGATGCAGTTGTCCATTCAAATCCCATAGGGGTAGAGGTAGTAAGAGTATAAGCAGTAATCCGAAAGACTAGGGTTTGAAGATATTATCCAAGGAGTATAATCCGGTGAAATAAATTTGGAAAGAGAAAAATGAAAGGGACATCAAAAATTCAGAAGATTAGAATTTGGGAGAACACAAAGAGTGAATACACACCTGAGCAAACCATTGTAAACGATTTTGAGTCATGTCATTCAAGGTCTCTAACCATCGGTTGCTCGTAACAGTACACGAGATCAAGTTAGTCACAATCAAATCCTTCCTAAATTTAATATATCAAGTTCTTCTATAAATTCTCTAAAGAAATCAATAGGGATCGTATTACAATGTGATGATTCAGTAATGAAATAATTTTCTTTCTTGAACAAAACAGGAAAATATGCAGATTACAAGGTAAGTTTACTTATAGTATAGGAATTGAGGAACTGTATGGAGTTCACAAGAATAAATGCCTGTTTTATATTATGATATAAATATATAAACTGAACAGAATATGTAATTTGACTTACCCCAGGGATGGCCCATTGACCAGAATCTTTCCGACGAATAGAAACAAACTGAAGAATTGGACGTCCAGTAGTTTTATTTAAACATCGACTACCTGAGTTGTCAATCTTCCATCTACATTAATTTTGTTTCCATGGAACAAAAAGAAAACATTTATCACCTCGAAGAAAACTAGCAATATTGTGATTGTAATAATCGCCTCAAAAAAATACATCATCAACTAAGTAACTGAGGATTTTCTTTTCATAAATAAGATGTTAGACCACCATTAAAAAAACATGGAAGCACTGAACGGCCGTTTCATCCTATTGTGGGACTCCTCACAGTGCTCAACCAAAAACTTAATGATCTCCACAACCCTATACTAATAACTTTTTTTGATCTAATGAATCAGTGTAGAATAAGCATATGATAGAGTTGACCAACCATGGACAACATATGACTTGGGAAAAATATAGTTGGTGTCGCTAAACAAGTAGCAGTAATAGTATATTATTTGCAGTGGGAAACTAAGAATTTGAAATATAGTTTAAAATGGAACTTGTATAGTTGAATAGAATGGAATAATATTCAGACCAAGATTTAAGAGAAGGATAAAGAATAAATGAGATTACTTCATTGTTCGAGACTTCAAATCATAAAATTGACTGAGAGGTAGTTCAGCAGTTACAGGATTCGACTTTCAGCTATTAAGTCGTAGGTTCAAACTCCATTTCACTTAATTTGGTGTGAACAACTGGGTAGTATTACTTACCTTTACATTTAGAGTATGGGTTAAAATCTAGTAAAAAAAACCTGTATCTGGTACATGAGTTAATAAGAAACAAAAAAATTATCATTATAATATACACTCCAACCAACTGTCACAACTGCATTTATTATCATTCTACAACATAAGAGGTTCACTTATATTGTAGTCAGCATTTTGAGTTCGATACCATAATTTGACTATTGAATTTACTTTTAGAGTACATACAACTCACTCACTATACTAGAAGATCTGATAGATTTTAATTGATTATTGTAATAAAGGTGAGCTTCAATTGAAGACAAAATTTGGGATACTAAGGGTCTAATATATACATTGGATAATAGCATCAAAATATACTGTTTGAAGACATTACGAGATCACCTAAAATTGACGAACGGAAGAAGGATCAGCGACATAACAAAAAGACAAGTTAAAATATTCCAATGTGTCTCAGCCTCGCTAACTAGAGAGAGATGTCCAGGTTCAGAAGAGGGAAAGTATATTCCACAAGCGGTCAGAAGCGTGAACAAACAAGCAAACAACTCAAGCATATATACAGAATAAAAAGGTCCTTGGGAAACGTCACAAATAGCGTATTAAAAGAGGCAACGAACCATTAACACATAGGGTCCTCCTAAATGGGAAATACAATCTGAAGGTAAAAAATGGATGCTTTTGGCGCGAAAACGAGAAATTCAAATTTCCAAAAATAAGACGTTTACTAAGTGATTCCCAGGAATCTAGCATCCTTAACAAAATGATTGCATTAATTTACTTTTATTTTCTATTGTATTCTTTTCAACTACCATTTGTACTTCAATTTATATTATTCATCATTGAATTAGTGAACTAAATTATCACATAATATTGAGTGATTAAAGCAAAAACTTAATATAAAGTTCAATAGTTAAAAATCAATACGATCTGTTGACATTCTTTAATATCATTCAAAGGAATTGTCTCAGTAAGAACAATTCATGATCATACGTTAATATCATATGGTTTTTGGACTTGATTTATGAAATTTACAATATCTTGTGATCTAGATAATGATAACCATTTAGTTAGTTTACAACAGATAAGTAATCAGAACAGTAGCTAAAATACCTGTCTATCAACTATAGTACTATATCAACTAATGATAGGGAGTGAAGTAGTTGAGTGTGTCAACCGCTTCATTTATTGGCCTTTGTAGTCTGGTGTGTGGCGAAATCTCAACATAGATAGAGAAGGCACGACTAGCTTTTGCCAACTCGTTTATGGCGTAGGAGAGATATCCGTCAATCAACCGGAGAATGGGTATGCTGCGCAGTAGTTCGTTCTGTCCTAATTTATGGCTGGGAAACATGGCCAGTAAGAGTAGAGGATATTCGTAGGTTACTAGTATTCGATCGAATGTGTTTTCGAAGCATTGCTCGTATAACCTGGGACCAATGAGTAAGTAATGCAGTTGTTAGGAAACGAGTACTAGGTAAGGATGGCAGATCAACTGATAAAGTATTGAAACTTCATCAGTTAAGATGGCTAGGACACGTGTCACGTATGCCCAACTACCGATTGCCCCGACGTGCGATGTTTTATGGTGTAGGAGCAAGTTGGAAGAAAGCTAGAGGCGACCAGACCAAAACATGGCATAAATCCATGAAGTCACTGACAAGTGGACCGAGCCATGTCGGTATGTGCAGACTACCTGGTTAGGATTCGCGAGACGATAGCGACTGATCGTTAGAGACCTTGAATGACATGACTCAAAATCGTTTACAATGGTTTGCTCAGGTGTGTATTCACTCTTTGTGTTCTCCCAAATTCTAATCTTCTGAATTTTTGATGTCCCTTTCATTTTTCTCTTTCCAAATTTATTTCACCGGATTATACTCCTTGGATAATATCTTCAAACCCTAGTCTTTCGGATTACTGCTTATACTCTTACTACCTCTACCCCTATGGGATTTGAATGGACAACTGCATCTCTGTGCTAATGTGGTATGGCAACTCGAACTGATGTATGTACGTACGTACGTACGTATGAAAGTTCTACGTTGTTACTAACTGACTGACTGTCTATCAACTGTTAGGTCGTATTTTCGAATCGCCTACTCCTAATATGATTTAACCAGTCGGGTAATATTGTTCACCTCTAACATACAATCAATAGTTTATAGTTATATTTTGAAAACAAGCAACAATAACTAGATTTATGTATACCGTGTTACAATTGGATCAGCAGCATGATTAGGACCCCAACGACCAAGAACACCACGTCCAGTGATTCCCGTACGTCCACAGGGATTTAATGGTAATCCATCAGTACTGAATTTATACTGACCCATAAAACTTGTTCTATCAAGTATTCCGTCAATTTTATTAAACTGAATAGCTTTATATTTTCCATCACTAACAATAAAAAAAGAATTTTAAGTATACAGATGATAGGTATCATTACCAAGGTTTGATTTGATAATTTCGAATAAATTGAGCATTGGGTAGATTGTTATAAATAAGTAGTATATTTGTAATATCCCAATGAGTAGAAAATCTAATTTTCCTACTAATTGGGATATTACAAATATACTATTTATTCATACAGATGATAGTTATTTTGAAGTTGTTTTGCATTTTAACTCCGCCTGGAGCCCCTCTGGGGCTACTGCCGGTCCCAAGGCCAGATAAGGGAGGATGCTTGGGCATGGGGTTAGCGACCCCATCCCGTAGAGAACTAACTCGCTAGAAATACGCTAACCAAAAAAATTAATGATGCATACACCAGTACGAGCAGCCTAGAGTTCCGATAGGTCTTTTTTCTGCCTAGCCCTATCTGTTAAGTCCAGAACGTCAATCTCAACCTCCGCGATACGAATCCTATATTTTAAACATACTGAGGTCATATATAAAAAACCAGACCATATCACACCATAAAGAAGAAAATAATATTTGTACAAGATCTAGCCAGATGTGACTGTGATTGTGAGAAGCTGCTACTAATAAATTGGGAATATCTCAAGAATAGCAAATCTTATGATAATGGTCAATAGGTCAAATAAAAGCTTATAATGAAGGGAATATGAATTCACACATAATACATTCGCCTAATAATCACACAATAAGAATGTACGTATAATATTAGTCCATAGGTAATTCCTAACGGTTACCATTCATTTATTCTCGTCCGGATATAACATATACCATTTAGTAATTACATTATAATTGAGTCAATGAGTTTCGTTGTTTAGTACTTAAAACTGTCCAACTTTAAACAGATTGTAACAGAGTAAAAGTTGCACTTTATTGGCTCAACTTAGGTTTCTTTTAATCTTATTTACAAATCTAAAATCAGATGTTATAATAATACAGTTCGATGACAAATAATTTTCCTTTTATGATCAGAATAAAATTGTTTGATTTTTTCTCTTTCTAAAAAGGTTATAGTAAACTCATGCATACGAAAACTAAGAGAAGGAGGTAAAGATGAATCACCTTGATATTCTAATAGAAATTATCTATATTTACTAACACAATAGATAACCTATGATTGGTTGTGGATTATTGTATATTTGTGATTCCCTAGAGTACAGATTCGACTTGGGATGATAAAACTGAAGGTTTTGAAATCCACTCTACCAATTACTACATTACTAACTGTCAGAAAGTTAACATAACTCGATAAGCAGGCAGTGTCACAGCCTCCATAGAATAGTATAGCTTAAAGTCTGCTGAATTGACATGTACTTATTTTTTACTATTTATTTATTTATTTTAACACATAGATATTGGTACAAGGAGGCACCAAATACATATGCGCCACACAAATCTCATTTGATGTGTGAGGGCTGTGATACTGCCCGGGTGCCCAAATCGAAGCAGGTATTTTTTACTAAGTTTTAGTCATAGTCATAGTAAATAAGAAATAAACTTGAGTAGTATGGTTAATTTTTTAGTTTGCAAACTAGTTTATAATGCTATTTGTGACCATTAATATGTAGCATGAAGCAAATGTGCGTTATAATAGTTGTAATAACGACGGATTTAATCAACATTGTCAATTTTGCTACAGTAAAGCATTAATAACATCAATTGTGAAGGATTGCAACAGATTTCAGTTTGACATAGATTCAAATTACATGAATTAAAAAAATATTTTACAAACATTTTTGACGGTTAGAATCTGCTACTCAACTATTCACTCCAATCTAAAACAAGATAGTTGGAAAACACGTAGCTGAAACGGTTTATCAGACCCTCAACTATGAAGTAGTTTAATTTGTGGTGTCACATCAGTATAGCAAGATCAAGGTAACCAGCTTAATAAAAAAATGAAATAATAGTAGTTTCAATAGTGAAAAAGACTAATGGATAGAAGATACGGTCAAGAAATAGTGGATGAATTCGAGAAACAATACTTTGATGAACAATAATATCGAAATATATTTCCAAAAATAATACTCAACTGATTATCCGGATCAGCCCATGGCTTTTTAGATATTCCTGGGGCTGTGTACGCTACCGGATGATATTCAGGCCAAGATAGATTCCAACTGACTTTATCATCAGGAACAGGATACCTTTGTATGTCTGAAGTGCGAGGGTATGGAGAATTTCTACATTTTACATGCAGAGTGGCCACAGTTACAGATGCCATTTTTGAAATGTCGACAATCTGAAAAACAAGTCTATGTAAGAAAAACACTGATAGTTTGAAGAACCAACCACTTCCCAGTTACAATAATATTGTGTATAAAGCAGAAAAACTAAATTCGTTAATAGCAACAAACAATACATCATAATTTAAAAAATCAGTCTGCACCTATAAATGACAAGAAAACGTGAAATCTGAATATAATGTGAAATTAGCTTATTAGGAACTTTGAAACAACCACATTAATGAAACTTCTGATTGTAAATAGCTTGCTTACAGTAGTTAAGGTACCAACTCGATGGAAAATTTAAATGGAAATTTCTTTTATAGTTATAATGTTTAGGACAACTTGTAGATCTAATCTTGTGTGTGGAATTGGGTACTGAAGTTAGAATAATAACAAGTGTTCATTTAATCAACTAGTTTAGCTCTAGTCGGTCATCATAGGATTTGGCACAACTATGAATTGATTCCAAGTTCCTATATCTTATACTAGCACACATAGAGGAAATCAACAGAACGATAACTAATACACAGGAATCAGTGTGAAATGAGATGGAAAAATAGTTTAAAAGGAACAAATGACATGAAATAAGTTATGAGTGATACCGTTAAGTCGTTCATTATCCGATCCTTAATGCTTAGTGTTTTTCGGACACGCATTCAACTAGTCTCCAGAAGCAGAACAGGGCTTAGACAAGTTCATAATTACATTTAAAATAAACTACATTAAATGGGAATGAATTACAGTTTAAAAAAACCTTAGTATATTTATAATTTTACACGAGAATACCCTCATCTCCAATTAACCACTAGCGCAAGCCGACTAGGAATGGGACGATCAACGTGCTCAAAGGCATTCATGCATGGGATATGCTTTAATTTAATCTATATCTCGCTAACAGATAATTAACTCAATACTTAAAGGAAGACTACTGCGACTGACTCAGTACTATGTAACTCAACGTCCTCAATTATTCCTTATGAGTACTGTCAATCATGTAGAACGTCTGCACCCACGAGATAGCTTAGAACATAAGTCAATAATTTCATGAACTGATACTGTGATTGATGTTCAACTGCTACTAGGACTTTTCCTATTTGTATTTCTTGCGACAAGATAGAGAGCGACTTTGATGATCTGTGCTGTACATAGATAATCTCGTAAAAATTTGGGTCTAAGCCGAAAGGTGGATTTTATTAGTTTTAAAAGAAACACAGAACCCAATTCGCGAGTGTATTTTTTAAAATAATTTCCGCTTCCTATGACATAACAAGTGGGCATCAATTTATCATAAGGTTAGTCTGATGAGAAGTATAGTAGGTGCTGATCAGCTCAACTCGATATGAAGCAGCAGTCAAAAAATTGAAAAATTCGACCAGTTTACTAGAATAGTCTGCGGATTTGAAATTAGAAAAATGTGGGTTTAAGAACTAAAGCTTGGATATTATAACTGCATGTTTCTAACTATTGTTGTGCTATTTCAATACTTACAGATTAGTCACAGTAACATCATATCCAACTAATTCTATAACAGTGAAACTTTAGTCAGTTGATATATGTGACAATTTATTATATTGAAAATATTAGTATACTTTACATAGAAACATGTTTTGTATATACAGTGTCACTTTGTGGAGGCCATGATCTATATTCGAGTTGTGTTTGTAAAGTTACATTAATGCGCTGTACACTGACTGCACAGCTGTGCACTTACCGAACTAGGCAATTTTGTGTGCATTTCAAAGTTCGCACTAAAATTCAATGTACAAAAACAATGAGAAGTGCAAATACAATCTACAAGCTATTTAAATTATGGATAGTATTCGAGAATAAAGTGGGAAACCAGTTGATATGTATTGGAAATGCTCTTTACTTTTTCTATGAAGATTCCAGTTCATTTTAAGATCGCTGATTTAGTAGATTATACGTGGATATAAGTACGTTCCGATTGTGGTATACGATAAACTCTTAAACCCACTAGCTTTCATATCCGCATTACCATGAATGCTCAGATTATTTTCATGCTGTTGTCAAGTTTTTGATTCAGGAGGAAACTTTCTTATACTTACTTACTTACGCCTGTTACTCCTCGTGAAGGAGCATAGGCCGCTCACCAGCATTCTCCATCCAACCCTGTCCTGGCCAATCCTTTCTAGCTCCGTCCAGTTGTAATTCATCGCTTTCATATCTGCTTCTATTATCCAACGCAATGTGTTCTTTGGCCTTCCTCTTTTTTGCTTCCCTTCAGGATTCCAAGTTAGGGCTTGCCTCGTGATGCAGTTTGACGATTTGCGTAATGTATGTCCTATCCATTTCCATCGTCTTTTCCTAATTTCCTCTTCAGCTGGAAGTTGGTTTGTTCTCTCCCACAGAAGGCTGTTGCTGATGGTATCTGGCCAATGGATGTTGAGTATCTTGCGTAGACAATTATTTATAGATACTTGTACCTTCTTGATAGTGGTTGTTGTAGTTCTCGAAGTTTAAGCTCCGTACAGTAGAACTGCCTTGACGTTCGTATTGAAGATTCTCACTTTGATATTGGTTGACAGTTGTTTTGAGTTCCATATGTTCTTCAATTGTAGGAATGCGACCCTTGCTTTGCCGATCCTCGCCTTTACGTCTGCATCTGAACCTCCTTGTTCATCGATGATGCTTCCCAGGTATGTGAAGGACTCTACATCTTCCAGAGTTTCGCCATCAAGTGTGATTGGATTGCTGTTCTCCGCTTTGAATTTGAGGACCTTAGTTTTCCCTTTGTGTATGCTGAGGCCTACTGATGCAGAGACTGCTGCTACACTGGCTGTCTTCATCTGCATCTGTTCGTGTGTACGTGATAGGAGGGCTAGGTCATCTGCGAAGTCCAAATCGTCTAATTGATTCTGAGCTGTTCATTGTATTCCGTGTTTTCCTTCAGATGTTGAGGTCTTCATAATCCAGTCGACCACCAGAAGAAAGAGGAAGGGAGAGAGTAAACAGCCTTGTCTGACTCCGGTCCTTACTTGGAATGCATCTGTCAGCTGTCCTCCATGCACTACTTTGCACTGTAGTCCGTCGTATGAGTTCCGGATTATATTGACAATCTTCTCAGGAACTCCGTAGTGTCGAAGAAGTTTCCATAATGTCCTCCTATCTACACTGTCGAACGCCTTTTCATAATCAATGAAGTTGATGTATAATGATGAGTTCCACTCAACTGATTGTTCGACGATGATCCGTAGTGTTGCAATTTGGTCTGTGCACGACCGATCCTTACGGAATTCTGCCTGTTGATCTCGAAGTTGGGCGTCTACTGCATCCTTCATCCGGTTCAGCAACACTGTTGAAGACTTTCCCTGGTATTGACAGTAGTGTTATGCCTCTGTAGTTTTCACATTTGCTCAGATCTCCTTTTTTTGGAATCTTGATGAGGTGTCCTTCTTTCCAGTCCATCGGCACTTGTTCCTCCTCCCAAATCTTTTTGAATAGAAGATAAAGCATGCTTGTGGTTGTTTCGATGTCTGATTTCAGTGCTTCAGCTGGTATGTTGTCGGGTCCTGCTGCTTTCCCGTTCTTGATTTGTCTGACGGCCATTCTAATTTCTTCCGTAGTTGGTGGGTTGACATCTATAGGAAGATCTGTGTGTGCTGCTTCGATGTCCACTGGATTCATTGGAGCCGGCCTATTCAGGAGTTCCTCGAAGTATTCTACCCATCTGTTACGCTGTTGTTGAATTTCGGTGATTGGCTTGCCTTCTTTGTCTTTGACCGGCCTCTCTGGTTTACTGTAATTCCCTGCTAGTTTCTTCGTTGTATCGTAAAGCTGTTCCATATTTCCTTCTCTAGCAGCTTTTTCTGCCGTCGTTGCTAGTTCTTCCACGTATTTCTTCTTGTCGGCTCTAATGCTCCTCTTCACTTGTTTGTTTGCTTCTATGTATTCAGCTTGTGCTTGGACTTTCGCTGCTCGTGTTCGGCTGTTGTTTATTGCTGCCTTCTTGTTCTTCCTTTCTTTGATCTTGTCCAGTGTTTCTGTAGAGATCCATTCCTTCTGATGGTATTTCTTTAGACCGAGAACCTCTTGACACGTTGAAGTTAATGCTTCTTTGATGCTTTTCCAGTTGTCCTCCATAGTAGTTTCTTCTTCTTTCAGTAGATCTTGTAAGGCTTGGAACCTGTTGTTGAGAGCTATCTTGAATTCATTGAGTTTGACAGTATCTCGAAGGAAGGCTGTATTGAACCTTTGTGGTGCTGTTTGCCCAGTTGTCCAGTTCTTTTTTAGCTTCAGTTTTAAATTGGCTACAACTAGGTGGTGATCTGAAGCTACGTCAGCACCTCTCCTGGTTCTCACATCTTCCATTGTCCTTCGGAATTTTTTGCTAATGCAAATATGATCTACTTGGTTCTCTGTAGTGTGGTCCGGTGAGATCCATGTAGCCTTGTGTATACGCTTGTGTGGAAATATTGTGCCTCCTATGACCAATTTGTTGAGTGCACATAGATTTGCAAATCTTTCTCCATTTTCGTTTCTTTCTCCCAGTCCATGTCGTCCCATAATATCTTCATATCCAGTGTTGTCTATTCCGACTTTGGCATTTAGATCTCCCATCAGAATAGTTAGGTCCTTTCTTGGGCATTTCTCAATGATTGACTGCAGCCGCTCGTAGAACTGATCTTTAATTTCGTCGTTGCTATCATTGGTGGGTGCATAACATTGGATAATATTCATTAAGACCCCCTCCTTCTTTGTTTTGAATGATGCTTTGATGATTCTGGATCCGTGAGATTCCCATCCTACAAGTGCATTTCGTGCTACTTTGGACAGCATAAGAGCGACTCCCTGAGTGTGTGGAGCATTTTCCTCTTCGTGACCGGAGTATAGCAGCATCTCTCCCGTAGCTAGCTTTTTCTGTCCAGCTTGGGTGCAGTGGGTTTCGCTGATTCCCAGTACTGCTAAATTGTATCTCCTCATTTCCATTGATATTTGACTGGTCTTACTGGTTTCCCACATTGTTCGAACGTTCCATGTACCTATAAAAATTTTTGCTCTGGTTGTTAGAAGGGGCACCGGCCTCGTGGCTTCCGAAGGAACTCGGCTTTCACCATGAAGCGTCATAATTCTTCTAAATGAAGACCTTCTAACTCCCAGGGCAGAGTTAAAATGGTTTGGATTATTTTTTCTGGTAAGAGTTTTTTTAGCGAGTTAGTTTTCTACGGGATGGGGACGCTAACCCCATGCCCAACCCTCCTCCTTTACCCGGGCTTGGGACCGACAGCAACCCTATAAGAGCTACAGGCGGAGTTAAACTTTCTTATGTTTATACAATTTCTAAGTGGCTACTATGACTAAGCACACTTGTTCCAAAATCGACTTATTGTGTACTTTATTAAACAATGGTTTTAGTATGCTGGTTAAGTCGCAAAGCCAAATCACCGACCTAAACTAATTATTTTTGCAATCCTCGCTTCCAAAGCAGTTCCTGGTCACAATTAATGGAGAATTATGACCATGGAAAATGGATGCCTCTAGGTATATCATCATCAAATTCAATAAAAATAAACTAGGAGTTAGTTGGTAAGTGTAGGTGATAGTACGCTCAATTTTGTCTTCGCTGGCTCCTTAGACGTGGGTTTTTTATTTTTACACATACCACTTATTCACATACATGTTTTAGAACCAGTTTAAGTTTTTATCACAATGACAATTACACAAATTAGTTTCGGCAACTTCTCCATAATATTCTGAACAGTGTTCTTTTTCAGATTCTAATTAATTTAGAGGAATGGTAATATGGGGACTAGAGGTCTGGTTAAACATGGTATATTGTGGCGAGTTAAACTATGTGCTTCTAGTCTCGATTACAAAACATTCATAATCCAAGACTTGTGTTATTTCTGGATTTCGTTTATTGATTTTCTTGATGAATGTAAGTACACCGTGTGTGTTTGCTGAGTCGTTGACCAATATTTTCTTTTGTTCTTCTACTTTCCAACCCTCCTCACTCACACGACTCCTCATGCTCCCCTAGTACACAAAGTAAATTCTGGCTGGACGCATACCGCTACACAGGCAATCCCTTAGACACCTGGAAGGAATGTTCTACCAACGTTCTTAGCCTATAGGAAAGGTACGCATACGCTGAAACGATTATTTGTAGGTACAAAATATGGTGCTGAGAACAGTATTCTGATATACAAATGGCTGTCTCCCTTTTTTATCGAATATATTTGAGTCTTTATTTTGTAGACTTTATGGAGTCTTCAGTAGGCTTCGTTCTCAGCGAATTGTCTAGTTTGCTTGTGATAGAATTGCCCGGTAAGATATGAAACCGATTCAGCGTTCAAGACACGGTTTAAAGAGGTACCTTGCATAATAAATCAGCATCAATACCATTTGTTTGTGACATTCCACTAGACCATAAGGAGCCGTAATTAAACAAAATGTTTTGCCTACAGGCATGGGTGGTATGAAGTTATCTCCCCACCATCATGATCGCCTGTTATTAACGCCACCCTCCATTCTTTTGTGATGTTAGGCTCTCCTATGTCTGTGGTAAGTATGAATATTGCTTAAATTAAAACCCACTGTAACGACCGAACTGCCAGTATTCGGTCTGAACGCAGGACTGACGAACGAAAACGTATTCGAATAGGCCAGACTACGTTCTTCTGTATGGCTTACAAAGCGCTTTTGAGACACTCGTAATAAGTTATATTAAAACACAAACTCCGTTCTCAATTTAAACTGTTCTAATTTAGGAAATAG